GAAACGTTGTACGAGGAAAATTACCTTATCGACTTTTTTCTTTTTAATTAAAAATGAGATACATTTTAGAATATTAGCGAACAAAACTGCCGCAGTTGCGTAGCGAAATGTAGTTCATTTAATTAATTCAACTGCGCTGCTTGCACGATAAAGGTTTCCGCAATTGTTCAATTTTCAAATGGATTTTATTAAATCTTATCGTATTGGGTGTAATCTCCCAGCGACCGATTGTTAAATTCTGTAAAGTCGACTTCGAAATCGGCTTAAACGGAGAATTAAGATCGCACGGCAAAATTCCTGTTTCATTAATTAGAATTCAGAACGTTAAAATGGAAAAAATACAAAAATAACGAACATTCGACAGATCGAAAATAATTCTCGCGGTTGTGTACCAAATTTCGTTAAACAGCTTGAAAGAGATATTGGAAATTGCTCGAGTACCGTCTATAAACTGTATTCACAGAAAGAGCGCGTTTCACTTTTCGCCGGTTCAATTCTAACTGTAACTTGGCTGATCTAATCTTTTTTCTCCATCTTTTGATAAAACTTTTACAGTTATGCAATTAGATAAGCGAATCCATTTAACGGTGGATCGTTTAAGTGGCTCTGAAATTACCGCAGAAGCGCAATACGCGCGCATTGCTGAATTTAGAAAAGAGATAAGAAGAAATGGTTAAAGGTGATAGTAAATGGTCGCATTACATAAAACTGCTGATACACAAATGGCTGGCTGATTGGACACCTGGCAGCACGAAGGTTAAATATAAAATTAGCTGTATCTGGTTCGCATTTTCAACGCAAACATAGCCACACTTGTCTCGGTAAATTATAGTTAGGTGGAAATCAACGCGACGGCTGTAATGTAGATTATTTATCGCTCTGGGTAAACACAGAATCGGCGCGAAATGACCATGTCGATCTCGCGTAAAAGTCAGCTTGTTAGGGGTATGCAAGGACACGTAGCTATACTGGGATATGTATACAGAGTGTCGAAAAAGTAACGGGGGCTTGTCCTTGCTTTGTAATATTAAGTCATATTCGTGACAGAGTTTGTTGATTTATCTACAAATAAAAAGACGAATTTCAAAGGATCTCAATTCACAGACCGGACAAATTCATGTTTGAGGCATTACATTCGTGACGAAGCTTAAATTTAACTTTATCTTTGAGAGGGTTTCTGCGATAAGGAGACAATACCGCTCTCCAGTGATTTAAGCGAAAGAAATAAAAAACAAAAGATAAATACTTCTTCGAAAAGTGATATAAAGTCATCGTCAGCTGATACTTGTAGCAATAAACTTTTTATACTTTCGGATATCTTCGTCGATTTGAACCGAACATTTTCCAAGTTTCCAAGTGGAAGTTTCGAACGAATGGAATCCGCGACATCCGACAAATCAATGGGAAAACGTTTAATTCTCGTGTCGAAAAATGGCTTCCTTTAAAAATAACGTCACTCGTTGTCCTCGGTAGCGTGTGAAAATGAATCCTCGCGGATGGATGGATCGAACGCGTTCATCCGCGTTTCCAATAACGTAGAGCTGACGTCGCGGCGACTCTAAGAATTTCCGATACTTCGATCCCCCCTGATCTTGTTATCGATGTATATCGGACGAGGATTTCCTGTTCGAAGGATTCGACAAAACGCGTGGTTAAAGTGCAAAGGAGAAATTGCATTCGCTATGGGAGATAACGCTCCGTTTTACGTGCTTCCTTTTTTGCCACCGGATGTTTACGACGTTCGTGCATTTTTGTCTTGATTTTCTCACGCATCGTTATCTTTGTTTTTCAATAGGTATATTTTATCTTTATTTCGACTTTTTACAAACGGAGTCGAGGAACTTGTGGGAAAATTTGTTCATAGAACAAAATGGTAAATTTAATAAATCGCGTTAGAAGCTTCAATTCTAGTTTTTTTTTCAAATATAAGTTACGTTTGATGCGTGCAAAGCGATAGTTGTACTTGCACTTACAGGAATTTGTTCTTCTTATATTTATAAAACAAATAGAAATATCGCAATAATTGGACTATTTAGCCAGGAAATATACTCTGTAACTCTACCAGAAAATGAATCTCTATCTTTGCCATAAACTCATAGATTCCTTTTTTAGAAATATATTTTCCATATATTTTAAATCGTGGCATCTTCTTCGTCGCATTTATACCGATAATTTATTACCCATTTACAAGGTCTTTTATCATTTCTAAATCAGAAACGACTAAAATTCCAAACGGAGTGAATGTTCGTGAAAATATTTTCGTCAATGAAAGCAAACTTAGCCCAATGGCTTGGGAACGAATGTCGGCACGAAATGCAGGCGAAAATGAAGTAGAAGGGACGTAGGAAAAACACGGGGTAAATTTGGAGCCGGAGAGGAAACGACAATCGCGAAGTAACATTTTAACGAGTTTACTCGCTCTTACTTGAGAGAGAATCAGGATAATACGAGTGCACTCGCGAGGTTACACGACTCTTTCGCTAAATTTAGTCCGTGGCTGAAAGAGAGGAGAAAACGACGATGGGAAAAGGTCTGTCGCGTAAAAGCCGGAGCACGCCGCCACCTCTTTCGGCATTCTTTCGCTCGCCTCTTTCAATGTGAATTTCGTCGAATCTTGCAAACGTCAACCCATCGAAATCTATCGAGGAACTTCGCCAAAAAACCTTTAACCTTAAATCTTACTAATTACGATTCTTCTAAAGATTTGCAGGGAAAGATAGCATTTCGATACTTTTTCTTGCAATATGAATTTTTATACGCTGTTAGTCTCTTGCGTAGAATTACATACAAATTTTTAATTGTTTTAAGAAATAAGAAAATAGCGGGTTTTTAAAAGATTTATTCATTCACTGGAAGTAATTTCTACGGTTGAAAAGTTCACGGATTAATATGTAAAATAACAGTAATTATACTTTAATTAACATCGATATTTGTATTTGTCTGCTGATTATAATGCATATTTATTCTATTTACTAATCGAGTAATCAATTTTTTAACGTCGTAATACTTTCATTGCAAACGAGTGGAATATTCTAATTGTCTGCAATTTATATACAACTGGAAAATACACGGTTAAAACAAACACATTTTACGAGGTGCGTCAATTTGTCGCGACGTAGCCGGGGTTCATTTACTCTGGCGCTCTGCTCCGAAAATATTACGTCGGCCAAGTTTTAAATCAATAAAGTAGTGCAGATAAAATAACAGAATTGTACAAGCGAGCAGAATGTTGCATCGGATGACCTCATTCATCCGTGCTTTCATCCTACCGATACTAATTCGTACACTTTGCTTATAATTTTCTAAAATTTCGTCGTATAATAGTAGCATAATGTAACTATAATTTGAATATTATAATAAAAGAATAATATGAATTAGTAAAATAGTGCGTTCTAATAAGCAAGCAGTTGATACGATTTAAATATCAAAAAAATCTTTATTTATCTTTTTTCCTTATACTTATATAGAGAAAGACAAGGAAGTAAATGTTTAATGGCCGATACTATCAGAATGGAAAATTCAGTGGTAAACAGTGCTCGCGACTGTAAAGGAATTTTACGCCAGGTAACATCTTTAATTAAGAAAAATGTTTCTTCTATTAAGTGAAGGTAGTATACAATTGAAGCTGCGCATCGCAGATGCATGACTAATTCTGGTCATAAATGCCAGCTAATTCTTGAGTTACACAGAGCTTAGTAATATCTAATTCTTGCATAGTCAACAAAGTAGTGAATTGTATAATTCTTATCTCATTGGAGTCTTAACTATGTGCGTACACTGCAAGAAAGAATTGTTGTCTGAAAGGATTCTTTCATTTGCGTAATGAATTTCTATAAAGTATTTATAATTCCAGTAGTTATTTGGTAAGTTACACGAACAAAGTATCAAAGTTCACTGTAAATTTTCGAGCCTTTAAATAAACCCTTTCAAACCCTTGAATTTCCGATATTCTTAAATTCGTAAATTTTTAAATATGCAAATTTCATATTTCCGGACTTTCAAATTCCTAAACTTTTTAATTCTCAAGCTTTTAAAGTTTCTTTTTAACTCTCAAGTTTTTAAACTTTCTACGTCTCTAGGTTTTTAAATATTCAAATATCGTATTTCCAAACTTCCAAGTTCTTAATTATCCAAATTGCAAATCATTGAATTATCCAACTTTCGAACCTTCAAACTCGTAAATTCTGAAACCTTAACATTTCTTATTCGTTCGAACGTTCGAATTCCCAGAATTTCTAAATTTCGCTTCGCATTATTCGTTCAATAATGTTACATTTACGTGACATTCGCGCATTTCACTGTTTCCTTCCTAATAACATAAAATTCCGATTAAATGCGTGTGTTCCGCGCGAATATCAACGCGCAAAACGTGTGGCAAATCGTCGACCCGTGCGTCACGTGACTCGAACGATAATCAAAAAGGCAATAAGTCACCGCCCGATATACGAGTTCCGAATGACGCAACCGAGGATGCAACATTTTCGGCTGAATCCCATGTACAATAGTCAGTCATCGAGCACGATCATATCCGTCATATCTACGGCGTATCGAGGTTTCGTTTTTTATTCTCCGATTCAATTTCATCGTAGCTACGTTGGCAACAACGACCACCGGGTATGTGGCTGGCTGAAACTAACGAGCGCGAATATGCCCGCCGCATAAGTGTATACATATTCATGGAAACTTTGTACACGCGTGCACCGGCATGTACACGCTCGCGTGTAAGCCATAATCCAAACGTCTGCAATTCGTTCCACTTCCGTGAACCCAATTTTTCCGATGTGTGACGTAAAAGTTTCGTGAAAATCGAGTCGTCAGCTAGATGGTTTTTACGGCTGGATAAAAGCGTAAGCTTGGCGATCTTGTGACGTAAGATAGAAAATTCTGGTAATTTTTATTTCTATTCCTGACTGGACGAGATGTCTTGTTACTTTAGAATACGATGAAAAATTTTAATAAGACAGTAGCTTCGTTTTTCGATCGCCGTAGCTTCTATTGCAGCGGAACGTGGATTTTGATAAAGTCGTATAACGTTTATATCTTTATTTGATACGAAATTACATACTTTCTTGCGTTCATGAACGGCAGAAAAGCTTGATTCGATAATAAAGCAAGAACGAAATATTAATATGCTATACGAATGTAACGAATAACAATATTCTGGTATTACAATACGAGTATCGTGAGTGACTATGAGATGTGCTTTTTACGTAATTGATCGATACACAATCGAAATTTCTACAGCGCAATTTCTAAAGTCACATCTGACGTACATAGTTACGAGTGGAAGATTAAGGTAGCGATGTGTAGCATCACGAGTGGTAGCCTTTTCTCTTCATGGGAAAAGAAGTTAGCAAGAGATTAATCAACCCTTTGATTATTATTGACGTCTGTAGGCGCTTGATAATAACACTTATCATGTATTATGAATCATACTGCTTGTTATGCTTACCATGTATTAAGAAAATATTTAGTGGCAAGTATTGTGTATTCGCGTTATTGCCTTTACGAGTGTATTGTATAAAAGAGTAAAAGAAAAGAAAGAATTTATCAATTCGTCAGAAGATGATGCGCACAGTAAAGCTGCATGCTGCATGTTCGTAATGTTAAAACATATAATTTTATGCTTCACTGGACATTCGCCAAAGGGGCTCGCATAATTTTTCCGATTTAGGATTTGAAAATTTCAAGATCCTAAAAAGTTTGTAAAGTCCTTTTTAGAAGCTAAAAGCGTAAAATTTCGAATTTCCTGGAAATACCAGTGTAATCTACGATTTCTTGAAAGATTCAGAAGCGTCGAAGATGAAATTTAGAATGTTGCTCCGAATACCAAGAAGCTCGAACGCTTAAATCCGAAGAAGTAATTACGGACGAAGCAAGCCAAATGTAGAACAGACTTTTATTACGCGTGAACGCTATTAATAGGTATTAAAATGTGTTATTAAGAGGAGCACGAATAGTCGTAATACGTCGGTTCTTTAAATGAGATTCGCAGCACTGTGCTAAAACTCTTCTCAGGGTGGAAGAAGTAACTCGAATGAAAGTATTGACCTCGATAAACTTGTACAAGGTGCAGTTATGAATTGCGTGAATTACCGCTGTCATTTGCTATTAAGCTAACAAAGCAGCGAAGTTTCTGTCTGTATCGTAGCTGACAATGCTAAACAAGAATTATTGCTGCTTGCTGCTCCTCTACGAAACTTTGCCAGAACCTTCACATACGAATATATATGTTTTTTTCTAATATGTATATCATGGAAAAATTTACATTGAAATCGGTATTAATTTGCACTGCTCTACTTGCTACAATGTAAACCCTCGTTAAAGCATGAAGTTTATCTTTAAAACATAACTTCCTACGGAGCGTTTCGCTGAATTTTTAACAAATTGCGAATACAAACGTCTTGTGTCATAAAACGGTGAAAATGAAAGATGAAGATGAGCGTAGCCTAAATACATTTCTTTCCTAGAAAATGATATACATATGCAAAAGAATACATCTAGAGGAACAATGGTGCAGATGTTCTTTCACGATAGCAGCGATTCATTCAATATTTTAATGTTTCCAAGTAATATAATTTATATTTAAAAATCCATTATCGGAGACAAAATTTAACATTCGAAACGACTATTAAAACTAACCAACTATTAAAAACGTCGTCTTAGCCGTCAACGCGTCTAACGTACCCTGTACTGTTCCACTCGTTCGTAACAAAATTTAGGGCTTGAACAAACTTCGTTACAACCAAAATGTTTAAACCCTAAATTTTGTTTCTATTTTTCCGCTGGAAAACTCGTGGAAGTATAAGTCACGTATAACATTTCAATATTTTCGATACTTTGTTATAACAAAGAGTAGATATTGAAAGATTCCTTGGACAAGACGTTGAAAATCTCCAATTCGTTCATCATCGACGCATCCCGACACGATCGCTCTGCACCCTGTTCCTTTTCTCTTCTAAACACTGTCTGAGTTGGCGCAGCTGTTCGACTCTATCATTCCGTGCTCCAAGAAAAATATTCAGTTTCTTAAGATCGGTCGATGGCTCGCCGCAAACAGATGGATTGGGACAGTAAGTCCACACCGGACCATCGTTCCACAGTAGATCGAAACCACCGATTCTGGTCTCTCTGCCGGTGAAACGGCCCTCGAAGTCGAGCACGTTGAGCGTGTCGTCGAGGAGATCGAACTTGAGCCGATAATCCTCGCTGTCCGTGCCGGTCAGCGCTGGCGAGGCGTTCACCTCGAGCAACCACGGCGTCAGATCCTCGTCGAGAAGTATATCGTAACCGTACAGCTCGAACGAGTTCTTCCCCTGCATGATCACCGACTGCACCGCCAGCAAGCTGGCCATTATCACGCCTGTGGGATCGATAAATGGTTTTATGGGGAGAGGCTAATAAATCGAGAAGCGGAACGCTGTTTTCGGGCATTGTAGGCGAGATATTGGTATTGGGCCAGCTTTCGTGGTTTTTTTTTTTTTTTT